CACGAACTCTGCGAATTCGACGATTGGCCACCGACTACTCCCCGGGAGATTGTCCTTCGCGAAGAAGCGAAAGTATTTCCTAACGCGATTACGGGCTCCATTTACGCCGTATGATCTCGCGAGACTTCGCTGTAATCGTTAGAGCGAATGAGAGGGAGAGAAAGAGAGAGAGAGAGAGAGAGAGAGAGAGAAAGAGAGAGAGAGAGAGAGAGAGAAAGAGAGAGAGAGAGAGAGAGAGAGAGAGAGAGAGAGAGAGAGAGAGCGCGCGCGCGCATGTACATTATCGCGCGAATGTTCGCGCCCGAGGGAAAAATTCCTCGGATTTCATCGGCAGTCTCGACGACGGCGATTGTAGCCGCGACTACTTATTCCCCGTCACCGGCTGTGCAGGTTCTCCACCAAGGAAGGATACGGTAACGGATTTTGTTATACTTCGTCTTTACCCGCCTTTGATACGAAATACGATCTACAGCAGAGGTGACACGCCAACGGTGTCGGGTGTCGCGTTTTCTCTCTCTCTCTCTCTCTTTCTTTCTCTCTCTCTCTATTTCTCTCTCTCTTTCTCTCTCTCTCTCTCTCTTTCTTTCTCTCTCTCTCTCTCTCTCTCTCTCTCGTGCACGACAAATTTCGAGGGTATCGTCGAGCGTAGGTCAAACACCATGGCATACGAGATTGTCACTTAATCGATCGGTCCGAATCGGTCCCGTGAAGAAAATGCGGAAAATATTAGATACCATTTCATGTTTCTTACACAACATTTTATTTCATACATACGTATATATATATATATATATATATATATACGTGTATATTTCCTTTATATAATCTTCATATAAATTTTTCACAACGAGTCCCCGTCCTTGCTCGTACTTGTGCACTACTCTTATAGAGTCGAGCGTCGACGGCGACAATTTGAACGGAAGGTCGTAAACGAGAGGCAAGGGCGAGCGCGCGAACCCGCGAGAACCGATACGACAGTTTCGTTCGGACAACATGCTATTACCGAGATAATCCCCGGCACTAGTCCGGGCAAACATGATTACATTATTACGGATTATAATGATTTGTGCGACAGCTCGCGTGGCCCGAGGAGATAAAAACGGAAAGCTCTGAACGCGGAAATACCATCCCGGCGGTGGAAGTGCACGCAATGCGTCCAGCAGCGCGAACTACTCCGTGGAGAGAAGTAGAGAAAAAGGGACGAGAAACGAGGAAGAAATGAGGCAGAGAAAGTGAGAGAGAAGGAGAAGGCGAGAAAGAAAGAGAAAGAGAGAGACAGAGAGAGAGAGAGAGAGAAAAAGCACGGCCAGGGTCGCTGGTTAATCCAATTCTGACGTATGGCAGCCTCGGCTGCCATTTGCCGACTATCATCCTCACCACCCCCGATCTCGCGTTTTCGAATACCATCGCCGTGGAAGTGACAAACGGTGAAAAATCGCGAGATAACGAGGGCTAGCCGCGAAGGGAACAGAGATTGCTTCGGATCACTTAATCTTTTCGTACTTAACCCTTTGTTGCACGTTTTTTTCTAATGAATATAATTTTGTGAAACTTGTTACTTGGGGGTTTTCAGGGTCGTAAATCCGGGGTGAAAAATACGAAATTCAAAATGACGAGTCCAATATGGCGGACGAAATTTTCAAAATCAACCGAATTCGCTTGAAATTTGTTATTTAAAGGTTTTCGAGGTTGCTAATTACAAATTCATTATCGAAAATTCGAAATGCCAGAGCTATGACGGATATATACGGGGCAAGGTTCGGTTGAGATTCGATCAGATTGCCCGGTTCTCAAGCGCAGTCAGCTTGTTTCATTTCTATAATTATGTTCGCCACATGAGAGATCCGTCATTTTGAATTTTGTATTTTTCACGCCAAATTCGTATTCAGCGACTTCGAAAACCCCCGAGTAACAAGTTTCAAGCGAATTCGACTGATTTGAAAAATTCCGTCCGCCATATTGGATCCGCCATTTTGAATTTTGTATTTTTCACACCGGATTCAACGACTCCGAAAATCTCCAGATAATGATTTTGAAGTATATGTTATTACTTAAAGTTTCATGCGAACGAGTTTCTAAAAACGAGTCCTCTAAAAACGACGGCTTTGTTCAGTGTATGCTTGTTAATAACAAATTACTTATTGGAAATGACTCTAAAGGTCGGTGTATTAGTTAGAGGAACATTTTAGTAGTCCGACGATACGAAATATGCTAAAGAAATATGTGGAAAATTTAAATTATTCGAGAAACAAGCTTGGATGACAGGTGGTACTCTGGGAGGACCACTATGCGGCAAAGGGTTAAAGTCAAACACGAAAGAAAGAAACGAAGAGGGAGAAGACTCTCTGGCTACGAGACGCTCCCGACTCCGATCCGCCTCTTCGCAGGCCTCTGCGCCGTCGCCCGGGCGACAATTTAATATTTTACCGTCGTAATGCCCAAGTATGTACGTACGCGCGAAACTCGATAAATCCGTTTACGACGACTCTTCGGCTCGCGCGCGGGAGCAGCGAGGTATTGCGCGGCTTGTGGGCATGTGCGATGTGTGGGAAGAAATAAAAGTACACATCATTCTTTCCCCGCCGTTCGCACGCGCGCGCGCGCGGCCATTACTGCGGTAACTTCTTGACGTACGGCTTCGCAACTTTTCGACACTTGGAACGTCCTTTTAATGCAACGTTGATGCACGCTTGCGACGTGCGTTAACGCTCGCGCGGAATAATGCTATAAGTCAGCGATGATGAGTCGTATAATGTTGGACGGTGCGTCGTCGGGCGCTGAACGCGCGAGACTTTCAACACGGCTCGTGCAATTTTCAGCACTTTTCCCCGGAGGGTAGCGGCCATGTTACAATAGGTACGTTGCGGCTACATTTGTCTCGCGTCGTCGAGTACTCTCGCGACGAAATTCTCGCCGTGTGATGAGGAGGCTACGCGACTTGTGTGTCACTGTTTCGCTCAGCGCGGTCGACAGGAAAAATGAAGAGAGAGGAGAAGATAGAGAGAAAAAGAGAGAGGGGGGGAGAGAGAGAGAGAGAGAGAGAGAGAGAGAGAGAGAGAGAGAAGAGAAGAGGATTGTATTTGGAAGAAGGAGAGACATGTGTGTGTGTGTGTATGGGTGTCGATTACGCGAGTCACACGCGGCTGCTCTCCGCGTGTGTTCACGCAACGTCCGCGCAAAACGTCCATGCGAGAGAGCTGCTGTCGATATTGTTCCGAGTTCACGGAATTACTTACGGCGTCCGATCGATAAGACTAGAGAGATCTCTTTTTACGTGTTCACATTGCGTTGCACGGAGGCCGCAGTCACGGCTTTCGGCGGCGCACACTCGTTTCGTTAATGAGACGTGGTGCGCCACTTGGAGCTAATTAGCGGAGATTAGAGTATGATGAATCGATATCCGATTTCCGTTTCTGCGATTCGCTCTCTCTCTTCTGTAATGATATGATAAGAGTGTATTTCTATTTCTAAGGCGTCTCTCCGTGTTCCGTCGTGGGCCGGTGAGGGTTATTAATATTTTTGCAGCGAAGCGCATTTTGCATGGAAATTATAGCCAAGCATTAAGAAGTGACATCGGTACTACTCTGTAGCAAAGAAGAACGCATAACTTGAGTCGCGCATGCAAGTGCACAAGCTATCTCGAAAGAACGTCAGCAACGTATGTGTGTGTGTGTATGCAAGCCACTACAAATATTTAGACTGACGACGGGTGACGTCGCGGAAGTAGAGAGAAGCGTCAAAGTTCGTCTCTTCGAATCTTCCGACGTACGGAAGTCTCGTTATACTGTTATCAAAAAAAGAAAAGAAAAAGACGAAAGAAAAGGAACGATAACGAACGGTAATCTGTCCCAACTTGGCGGTGCGTTTGATTAAAGACGACAGGATATCAGTCTACGAGTTTCAGTCAGTCGCGAACTTTAAAAGCTACAAATTCGCCGGCGGTTTAAGCAGAATTTACCATCGAGAGTTGCGAGTGACTGTTCGAGATCGAGAGCCCAGCGATCGACAGCTGAGAAGCACCGCCGCCGCGCGATCGTCCTTCCGTCAGACATTCGCGACAATCACAAGTGTCGTACGTGTCGTGTAAGACGAACAAGGGTCAATTACTTGCCGATTCCTGCGGTGGAAGAGGGAGGAGGATGCTCAAGAAGTGCTGACGAGGTCGTTCGGAGTTATTACTACGAGCACACCGTGACGTATGCACAACGGAACACGAAGACTAAGTAAAGATTACACCAATCAATTCGTGAAAAATGATCTTTGAGGATACCTTCTAAGGCAGTATTCGCAGCCAAAAGTGTTTAGCACCGTATCACGACGACAGTGTAAGTACGCTGGTAGTAACACATCTCTCTTTGTTAAGTCGCTTCGTCTCGTTAAGTATGGTTTAGAAAGTTTATTTGCCTCGTCAAATACACCTTCTAAAACGGACGACTTCTGGCACGCTTCTAACCCGTTATCGATTTTTTATACTCATGCAGCAGCTGTAATATTACAATAATTGCGATATTAACACCAATTCTTCAGCAGCTTCCGCGGCGTCGCGACTCGCGTCGTCGTTGCGCGACGAAAGGCCGTATATCGCCAATTCTCGACATCGTCATCGACATCGACCGGAGCGCGCGGATCCCGCCGCGCGCTCCGGTCTTTCGCGCGTTCTCTGTCTTTCACACACAGCGACTCGTTTCCTCTTTTTTTGTTTTTTTTTTTTTCTTCTCTTCCGTTTTCTCGTCTTTTCTCTTTCTCACGCGTCGAAGCGTCTTCTTGACTTCCCCGCGCGTGTGTCACAACTCTACTCTCTACTCTACTCTACTCTAAGCAACGTTTCATTCAACTAACAAGGTCGTATATATATATATATATATCTCTCTCAAGTCATTCCGTACATCGTGGACATGTGAACGTGGCCGCTACGCTAATATGGCAATACCGTATCTCGGTTATATGGAAAATGCGTTTCTCGGATTTGCACACTTCCGGGCCAGCCAGCTAATCATTACCTGAGATCGTTGCCCCTGGATCTTCTTATGCCGCGTGGCGGGTGTCGCGGCGGCGGCGTGCATCTGCAGTCACAGTGCATCACACACAGCGCGACGCTGGTCGCGAGAGTCACTACGAAAGGAGCCGCGAAGAAGTGCATGATGGTAGCGACCTGTGCCTCGCGATTATAGTTCGCCATCACTATGCTACCGTTCATCCGGCTGTAATGGCAGGGAAACTTCGCGCCCTCGTAACCCAACTCGCGGGTGAAGTTCTCGCAATCGACTACCGGCGGGTATCCGCAGCCCTTGATGTTCACCAGGAGCACCGCCTCGACGTCCCCCGGGGAGGACACTGCTCAACAAGAGATTTTTTTTACATAGCAAATATTAGAGAGCGCGCCGCTCGCCGGGAATTTGAATTTTTATGCCGCTCGTCGGTTACGTATATGCAATCTGTGATATTGATCTACCCGACTGTGGAATGGATTCCAATTTTTCTTCCATTTCCCAGGTGGTACATTCTATTTCGTCAGTTACAAGCAGCAACGATACGCAGAGAGGAGGGGGGGGTGGAACGAGTAAAAATATCAAATACTCGTTACGTTCTTGAATTTGACGGATCACGCGCCCGTCACGTCTTGAGCGCTTTATGCGCATTTTCCGATGATACGTGTCGCATGAATCATCGTCCGTGTACAATCATACCGTAAATTTCGAAGGGATCGAAAAAAAAAAAAGTCGGCTACTTCCCCGCTACTTGAAATGTTCAGCCAGTCCTGTCGCGTAATCTCTCGCCCGTTCCCGTTTCCCCAGGGCGCGCGGCGCGGTCCTACAGCGAGACTGTGCGCGGCTCTCGGCAAATCTCTTTATCATGCCGAGCGGCCGCGGGAGAGATAAGGGAAGGACCGCGAAGAGCCGCGAGAAAAAGAGCCGTTAAGAGAAATAGCGCTTGATTAATGACCCTACCGGCAGTGACAGTGGCCGGAGCGGCGGTGGCGTTCGCAGTGGCGTTCGCAGTGGCGTTCTTGCCGCCGGTCTCGTTCCTCATGCTGGCGTTACTCCACGGCGTATAGGTGACGTATATATGGGTGCACCTGTACACGTCACTGGTGCAGCCCTCGCGACACGAGCTCCATGTGCAGTTGAAGAGACCGGCGAGCTCCTCGCGGCGGGAGGTGGTGCAGATGACCGGCTCCGGCGAGAAGTCCGCCGCCAAGGTGCTGATGGCCGGGTCGACGTAGAGCGGCACCAGGAAGAGGAGCGCCGCGCCGCCGGAGGTCGCGACGAAGGCCAGCGCTGACGTGGCGTAGAAATTAAACCGCTGACGGCAGGTACGCCGTGGCGGTCGGCGCCGCGACGCGCCGAACCCGAGCTCCAACAGCTTGCGACGACGTAGCTCCCGCTCGTGGAAGTCGTGTCCGCCGCCGTCGCCGCCGCCGCCGCCGCCGCCGCCGCCGCCGCCGCCGCTGCCGCTGTCTCGACGCTGATGCCGATCGTGGTCGCACTGGCACTGGCTGCAGCCCGGCTCCAGCAGGAGTTCGGAGCTGCTTCCGCGCATCACCCAAGACGGCTCTCGAGAAGGGGACGACGCGATGCGAAGCTTCCTCTTCGGCTACCCCGGCGGGCGGTGCTGGCTGCTGCTCGACGCTCGATTCTACGACGACTCATCGAGCGCGCCGATCTACAGGCAGCCGATCATCGCTTTCTCGTAGAGCGCGTGGTGCTGGAACTCTGGCGTTGGACGTTGCTTGCGTCAACCGGGATCAACTGTCGAGCATCGTTCGCCACGGCCACGACGAGTCGTCCGGCAGTTGAGCAGGGGTCAAGTGTACGCGATCGCGATTGCCTTCTTCACCAGGAGGCATTGAGCGAGGCCGTGTTTATTAGCTCGATGTTTCCGAATGTGCTGGTACGACGTGCGGCGATCTGGCCGGCTGGCTGGCTGCCTGGCTGCCTGGCGTCGTATAGGCCGACGAAGGTCTCATTGAACCTTCTCACGGGTTCCTCGACGTACAAAACTAGAGACGTGATTCGCCACGACGCTTTGCGAAGGTAGCACGTAGCGCGGCCCGACGAGCATTCAATGGACGATTCTCCGTGAGCGTTTGGCCGACGGGCGTTCTATTGTCGTGAGCTTCCTCCTGGAAACTCGAAGAACGCGGGCGACGATCTCGCGATCGATACAGCGCGCTCCGCCGTCGAGCACCGAGCACGCCTCTTCGTGGTGTGCCGAGCTCGACATTACGCGAGAGCAGATCGGCGAGCTTGACTAAGCCGCTATATCCGCGAGTCTCCACGAGTTCGATGCTTCCTCAAAAGTAGGTCCTTGTAAATCACGTCGCGATAGATAGGCCACGTACCAGCTGCCCGAGAGAGAGAGAGAGAGAGAGAGAGAGAGAGAGAGAAAGAGAGCACCTCTCCAGTCACCTCCTCCTTCACTTTTCAGCCGTAGACAGAGCTCCTGCCTTATCGCTTATACATAACGACCTTGTATATGCTGGAGGTTCTTTTAGATTATCAAATTGAGTCGATCGATCACGACCTTTCAGACGCCGCAGTTTTGTAGGAAATCGCGCATCTCGCCGATGCGCGCGTGCGGCCGCGTGCTCGCGTGCGAACAAGTATCACCGACGGCTTGCGATCCTCGCGTTACAAAACTGCGTTGTGTATCTGTGTTTGTGCTTGTGTGTATCTATGTGTGCGTGTATGCGTGTGACTACGTGCGCGTACGTGTGTGTGTATATGCGTGCGCGCGCGAGTGTCTGTGGGTATGATCTCGTTAATCCGTTGATCCCAAGTTAGGCTTGCTTATTCATCTTCTTCCTCCTCCTCTTGCATCAGTAAGGCGCACGTTGTGGTATTTGGTAATGAACGACGGAAATATCGCGGAGGCTCGCGAACAACTCGACATCGACGCGATATCGCGCTTTGTAAACTCTCGTGTGTGATCAGCCGTTCGACCTGACGTCTCGCGCCGACCGTCTCTCTCTTGCTCTTCTTCTTCTTCTTCCTCCGCCTCCTCTTCTTCTTCTTCTTCTCTTTGTACTCTCTGTGTACCAGTTGCGCTCGCGCGCGCTCGGGGCCGATCGTAATTATCCTAGAGGAAGCCACAATCGTCAGCGATATATATACCCTCCGCTAATGAAGGCGCTTACTCATCTGAACGACGCCGCCAATGCTGTCGCATCGCTCGCAATCAACAGTGCTCGGCACACTCGACGACGACCTGTCACGAGCAACACCAGATTGATCCACTGTTCGTCTATCAGAGACAAATGGAAAGAGAGAAAGGGAGAAGTAGAGAGAGAGAGGGAGAGCCAGAGAGAGAGAGAGACTGAGAGAGAGAGAGAGAGAGAGAGAGAGAGAGAGAGAGGAAAAAAGAGAGAAATAGAAAGATAGAAAGGGAGCAAATCGACGTATCCTCGTGACTCGTGAGAGCCGTGCGAGCCTCCACCTTGAACCCTGCGTCGCGGTGCTCCGTCGCGATCTACCGTTCCGCCTGGCTCCGAAGGAGCATTCGCGCGGACAAAACTCGACGGAGCCTGTTTACGCCTGCAGCTCACTCACATCGGCAACTGATCGGCACGCAGCGGGCCTCTCGCCGTCGGAATCGGTCAAATCGATCGGCAGCCTGAACTTCCTGTTACACGCGACTCGCCGTCGCGAACCGATGACGATCGATCCGCCGCTGTTGATCCTTTCCGAGGACATGGGACACACACCGGCCGCCGTGGTGGGATCGCGCGCTGACCTCCGTCCGTGGATCCTTGAATCGCTGTCCGGGACGTTCCGGCGAGGGCTCTCGCAGGAGCGAGCACGACGGACGCGGCCGACACAGATTCTCCTCTCTCGCGCGCGCGACGAGCCTCCTCTCCTCTCCTCTCCTCTCCTCTCCTCTCTACTCGTGTCTGAGCACTTGCGCGTACCTGGCGAGTGCCGTCCTCCGCCTCGCGGATCGCGGGTTAAAGCGTGACTATTCGACCACCTCGGCGAAGAGTCCTCGACAGGACAGACCGTGGTCCGAAGCGACAGGGCGGGGTTCCAGGCGCGCATGAGCGACGGGTACAACCCCTTGCCCTCGTACCCCGTTGAGCCACCCCCGCGATGCGTTCTCCTTGTTTACGCTCCCGCCTGTCTCGCCTTGCTTCCACCGCTCTTCTACTACGGGGTGTCCTGGACCCACCGAGTAATGCCTCGTGTCAACGATTGGAATTCGCTCGTATCGGGACGATTTCTTTTTCCTTTTTTTTTTTCTCTTTTTGGCTGTGGATTCTTTGTCGCGCGCGTATACATTCTGCAAAATTTATCTCGTCGTAATTACGTCGATCCTGAGAATAAATTCGTATGGACTTGAGATCGATATCTCTTCGGCGAAGAAATGTCGAGGGAGGACGTCGAGACGTTGTTTAAATTTCAAGCGTAGAAGATATCTTGATAACCGAATTTTCCGAGAGCAAGGCTGTCTCGACGCAGAGTGTTAATTAAATGAGGGGCAAGAAATCCCACCACCGTCCATCTGCATTTAATTCGTACGACGAGCTCTTTATCCTCAATCACCTAGAGCCCAAGGAATATTGCTGGATTGGCAATTATCTCAAGGGAAATGCCTCTTCAAGCGATCGGTGAAACCGTCTCTTTGCAATATTACTCGATAGATTCGAGACACTACGTATATATCACGCTCAACGGGTACTTCAACGCGCGTCCTCCCGCTCTCCCCCTCCCTCGCTCCTCCATTATCATCTTTTAATTGCGTCCTATAATGAAGCCAATTTTTTGCGCGGAGTCTCAGCTGTTCCGCGTCGCAGTATGTGGATAGGTAATGACTTTAGCCCCTTTAAAAAGCCTTTGATGGTCGAAGGAAAAATGTGGTTGGCAGAAATTAAATGTGGCCTAATCCGAAAAGCAAAGCGATAAACTAAAAGAAGACATATTAACGAATTCACAATTTCAGCTTATAAAAAAGTAAGGACAATTCTGCCCCCCCCTCTCTCTCTCTCTCTCTCCCTCTCTTCAGGCTGAGTAATCAGTCCATCTTCGGCGTAATAAGAACACGAGCGAAATATTTCCTTAATTTGTCGAAGAGCGCTGACGCGCTGAATGTAAAAGCAAGGCAAAAATGCCGTTTATCTCGATTTCTTCATGGTTCCCTGTGGCTATTTATCTCCATTGTAGTCCTTCTCTGTTAAAGAGATCCCTCGCAAGTAGGAGCCTCGGGTACTCCTCGCCTAGCCCTAAGGTAGACCTTATTGCGCGCCGTGTGATGTTATACACTCATAGTTTTCGAGATCATTGCCGAGACAGCTGGGGAAAGCAATCTACCTTCCTCCAGAGGGTCGTCCTGATTGTTACGTGTGTCACGACACAGAGCTATAGACGATTCCCGCGAGGCTTTATCCGCGGGCCTAACGACCGCGAGTCGCTACGACCAAGTCGAGCTGCGGCTTTACCGATCCGTCCTAGATCACTGGCTACGACCCTAATTCGCCACTTAAATCGCGATACGAATGCCTGATATGTAGACGACCGGCCGGGAATTTATTAACGTTAAGCCTGCTGGTGCTGGCTTTTCTCTTCTAGATTGCGATCGCGGCTGTATCACGTGGCTGAACGCGCACCGCACGACCTTCGTGATTTAAACGACAGGCCGGAAACATTAAGTCACACCTATCATCGCCCACGGCTCCAAAGCGATAAACGCATCTCGGTGATCGCACTTGTCGAAGGTCCTACGGTGAGCCGCAAATCGAGCAATGCATACTACATGCTGCTATTTTCGGTGTTTCCTTAGCTTAACAATGTAGCAAATTAGTTCATAGCAGCATAGTTATAAACCATACTGCATACAAGTTGCAGCAACATTGCTGCAATATTACAATGTTGCAGCAACTTTTATGCTGAATGAGAAGTGTTATATAGTGTCCTGTTATTCATCATACACCAAATTAGTTTCGTCCTCTCCGAAGTAAAGATATGATAGGTTATATTAAAATCAGAAAACGATTACTAATGTCTGATAAAGATTGCACATGATGCTTAAAAAATATAAGTTTCGCTGACTATATAAAACAATATATTCTTTCGATAATATTCTATTCCATAATTTCAATTAAAATATCTGTACTATGATATTTTGATTATACGCGATTAAATTATCGTTGTGAAGCAAGAAAACAAGAAAAGAGATCAGAATTAATAATTATAGATTACACGGCATACTAATGAACTGATTCATCATTTTACCGGTTTCAGGTGATAACCAATGTCCGATATCAACGATGTGCACAAGATTGACGATCACATCACCGAGTAATTAAGCAACATCCATCTCCATCACATAATACCGTTTCTGTTACCTATTCGAAACATATTCACTGAACCGCGGATTTTTACATGTGGCGACGTCTATCGGTCGCAGAACGAATCAACACTTCCAACTGCAACTCCTATCAGAGAGAAACCTAAGAGCGGTCAACGGGTCGATTACGGCGGGACGCTTTTTCTGCCGAATTCCGACGCGCCCCCTGAGAAAATGTGTGCACACTACATTCGTCCTAACGGTAACGGCAAAGCGTGCACGGTTCTTGCTCACTCTACATCCCCTTATAAGAGATGGCAGAGAGGAACGTGAGAACGGCCAACACGGTGTTTTCGACGACACCGACTTTCCGCACTGGGAAAGGGCGCCATCTGCATCCATTTTGAGAGGGGAACGACGATGCTACATCCACTTTCAGGTTTCGGCGGTAAAACCTGTATGTGGTGGCAGTCCGTGCTAAAAATCGAATATCGATTAATACCGTAAATCAACGTCAGAAAATTGTCCACGTGCAATTACAATTTGTTCTTATTTTTTAGGTACTTAGCCCTCTAATTTACTCAACAAATTAATTTGAATAAACGAATGATTCGTATCAATTTTTCTTTTCTTATAAAGAAATGAGAGAATAAATCAGTTCCGAAAACCGAACACCGATCAATACCTAATTTTTTCATCAAATTAACGCGGATTAATAAACGATTCGTATCAATTTTCTGTTTTCTTATAGAGAAATGAAAGAGTAAATCAGTATCGAAAATCGAATATCGATTAATATCATAAATCAGTGTCAAAAAATTGCACACGCGCAATGACAATTTATTCTTATTTTTCAGGTACTTACCCCTCTAATCTTATTCAACAAATTAACTCAGATAAACGAACGATTCGTATCAATTTTTCTTGTCTCATAAAAAAGTGAGAAAATAAATCAGTACCGAAAATCGAATACCGATCAATATCGAATTTATTCATCAAATTAACGTGGGTAAACAAAATTTGTATCAATCTTTTTTTCTTTTATAGAAAAATCAAAGACTAAATCAGTACCGAAAACCGGATATTGATCAATACTATAAATCAGTGTTAGAAAATTGTCTAAGTGCAATGACAAGTTGCTTTCATCTTGCAGGTATTTACCCCACTAATTTACTCAACAAATTAAGTCGGATAAAAGAAAGATTCGTATCAATTTTTATTCTCTTATAAAGAAATTATAGAATTAGTCAGTACCGAAAATTGAAGACCGATCAATATTTAATTTATTCATCAAATTAACGCCGATAAATGAACGATTCATATGAATTTTTTTTTTCTTATAGAAAAATGAAAGAGTAAATCAGTACCGACAAGCGAATATCGATCAATACCGTAAATCAGTGTTAGAAAATTGTCCAAGTACAATGACAATTTGTTCTCATTTTTCAAGTACTTACCCCTCTAATCTTATTCAACAATTAACTCGGATAAACGAACGATTCGTATCAATTTTTTTTGTCTTTTTAAAAAATGAGAAAGTAAATCAGTACCGAAAACCGAATATCGATTAATACCATAAATCAGTGTCAGACAATTGTCCAAGTGCAATGACAATTTGTCCTCATTTTTCAGGTACTTATCCATCTAATTTTATTCAACAAATTAACTCGGATAAACGAACGATTCGTATCAATTTGTTTGTCTTATAAAACAATGAGAAAATAAATCAGTACCGAAAATCGGAGATCGTTCAATATCTAATTTTTTCATCAAATTAACGCGGATAAATGAACAATTTGTATCGATCTTTTTTTCTTTTATAGAGAAATCAAAGACTGAATCAGTATCGAAAACCGGATATTGATTAATACTATAAATCAGCGTTAGAAAATTGTCTAAGTGCAATGACAAGTTGTTTTCATATTGCAGGTACTTACGCCATTAATTTACTCAACAAATTAAGTCGGATAAAAGAATGATTCGTATCAATTTTTATTCTCTTATA